TCGTGAGTGTGTTGTTTCATTCTCATACGAAGAGCGTTTCCCCGACTTATTGTTTACCACATAGACTATTACATATCACATGATATTTTTGGTGAGACATTTTGCCTTATCTTATCTTATGTAACACTGCGCTGCGTAGACTTGCATAAAACCGTATATTAAACAAATAGTCATGATGCAACATTTGTGTTAGTTTAAACACACTGGTATATGGAGGTAAATGCTTAATGGTTTAACAGAAAATAATTCTCCATTATTTAACAAAGATATTTATAAGGTATTAGTATTCTACACTGAATAAAAAACAATCAAATAATAATTGTATTGAATTGTATTTCTTAATTTATTATTTCTTACAGGATATGGGAACATAGCACCAGTCACAGTAGCAGGACGAACCTTCTGTATGTTTTATGCAGTATTTGGTATCGCATTGCTGCTGTTAGTTCTGGCAAGCATCGGATCCCTACTCGCTAGAGGAGCTACAATGTCTTACCGCTACTTTAAAGTGTTCATGAAGAAAGACAGTGGTGGTAATAAAAGACGAGAAAAGGAGTTTGTTCGAGAGGTACCGGCACCTATACCACTTGAAGGTACATCCCGTAATGCAGTTGTTGGGGTCGGAGATAACGGAATGGTAGTAACTCGCATAAATCCAGACGTCAGTGGCAAGGATAAACAAATATCTCCATTCTTTGATCCCTCTGTAGATTATGGCAGAGCGATTGACCCAGAAGATCCAACCAAACTGCACCAAGTGACTCTAAAAGAGGATGGGGAAGGAGAGGAACGTATGAAAACGCCTGACATTCAAGGAGTTGACGAAAATGAACAGAAGAAACACAATAGCCTTGACGAAATATTTGGCGACGAAGAGGCGGGTACAAATATCCCGCTGACAGCAATTCTACTGTTTGCTTTTGTTTATATGTGTCTTTTAGCAGCACTTCTAACATCTTGGGAGCAGTGGAATTATTTCGAAGCTTTGTATTTCTCGTTTATCACGCTTACAACTATTGGTTTTGGTGATCTTGTACCAAAACACCAGAAAAATCTCTTAGCGTGTGTGTTTCTAATCATGGTTGGAATGGCTGTTATGTCAATGTGCATTGCACTAGCGCAAGAAGAGATAATGTCGAAAGTGCGCCAAATAGGCAAGCTAATTGGAGTTATTATTACTAAGCGTAAACGATCAAAACGTGAAAAGTAATTTAATACAAAAGATGAATTTCAATTAAATGTTTTCGATGTTTTGACCTAACTTTTGAAGAACTGTAGTGTTCTGAAAAGGTTTATCATTTACACCCATTTTAATGTATAAGAATATTTCGTTTAGCTGTTAGATTTGAATAACATAATGAAAAAAAATTAAAATTCATACAGTAATTTAAATATTACGCCGTTTAGATCATGTTTTATGGTTACGTCAACGTAACTTGAATTTTATAAATGATTTGTAGATAGATAGGTACAGGCAAATTGTAACAACAAGGAAATGATGCTTTTTTAAAGAATGGGTGAAGAAAAGAAGATGTGCCTTAGGCGGAGGAATTTTAAAGCTTTCTAATCATTGTCCTACAATATTGTCTTGTGGACATTGTACAGTTTTAGCCATCGGTTTTTTAAGTGAAGCAATTATCATGTTAATATGCAAGATCAACTCATTTTAAAGTTTTATATGTGTAAAGTTTTTTTTAATATTGTCTCACGTGTCGCTGTTACTTCACTTAATAATAAAATATATATGCACTCAAACAAAAAATATATAAATATATTAGAATATGGTAACATCATACAAAACAAATACCGTAAGTTATATAGTATAAACCTAATTTTATATATTTAGGCCTATATTCGCAAAATTACTGTTAACCATATAGTGCATTTGTTTACAAAGAATTTGTTTTACTTTAAAAAGTGTTATGATCATAAAGTTTCATATCAAATAGAAAACACATTTTTTCATAAAGAATAAATAATATCTATGGCCTTAAAATATTCCAAAGCTTTTATAGGCCTATTTGTATTGTTAGTGTTAGTGGCATGTCACTTTCTGCCTTAACTTTCCAATAGTAACTGGATTATTGTAATTAAAACATATCAGTGATCATTATGAACTTTTTTAGCATATAGGTGTTGACATAATGCACTATAATTACCACATATCTATTTGTTTTATTATACTTATAATAATATAAGTACAATTAAATATTAGTATGAAATTCATTGGATTATTTCAGGGTTGTTTGCCTCAAAGGTACACAATATTAAATTAAAAGTAATAATAATAATAATAATAATAATAATAATAATAATTAAAAACAAATAATAAATAATAATAATTATTATTATTGTTATTATTATTATCATCCTTAATATTATTATTTTCATCATCGTCGTCATAATCACTATTACATAAGCTATTATTATTATCAGTAGTATTTCACCTATATTATTCATTTATTTGTACAGTGTCCTTTTGAGACAAACGACCTTGGAGTAATCCAATAAATTTTAACTGTAATAACTTCATTATAATTTCTATGGTATCAGATAAGTAAGGTAAATAACAATAAGATATGTTTAATTTTATAAGTTGAAGCTTCGGTCTAACTGATTGTTAACTAAATGTAAGCTATCGATTGCATTACTCACGACCGTTTTTTTGTTTTTTTTTTTAATTTTTACTTTGAAATTATAATGATGCCAAAGGATTTTTGAGTCGGAATCAATTTGTTTAAGGCATCACTAAGCGCATTAAAATTATAATCTTTCCTAGTATTCACTCAATATATAAAATTGCGGCCTTGAACCCAGGATAGTGTTTATCTTTATGTAAATCTGAAAACAAAATGAAGATTCAACAATAAAATTTCAATAAAGTGAAATAATAAAACACATAATATGTTTTTATGGATATTATACAAACACATAAAAAGTATACATTTTTTGGGCTTAACTTTATTATTTGTGAGGTGTTGGATTACATCTAAAATATTGTAGGCCTATGCATAGCGAGGATTATTCATAAATATTTTGTCGTGTTTTTATAATAAAAAATCATTCCAAGTAGCGCCGCTATATTGATGCGTCGTGTTGCACATGCAGAATGATACAAGTAAAACTTCGATTTAATACTATTAAATTATAACTAAATTAAATTGTTTTTCCAAAGTTAAGGTCGAAAGAGGTGTGCATTCCTGGATCCTGAAACCTGGAAGCACATGTCAAGAGTTAACGAAAGAAGTACAAGACCGTGAAAGATGGCGGGAGTGGCTACTATGAATCTGCCAAAAGGCACATAATTGAATACCGATCAGAGTTATTATATTAAAAAAAAACATGAAATAATACTTTAGAAGAACAAAGAAAAAAACTAGACTTAGTAAGTCTGTTTGTAAAACAGAACATAAAGCTTTTCCTCATCGACATAAAGAGAATTTTAATGTTGTCCTCTAAAAGGTTTTAAAAATCATTAAAAAAAAATAAACTAGAATACAGGAAAATCCTCAATATAATATCTACCTAAGTGTTATTATTAGTTTCTTGAAACCTTGTCTGCTGTCATCAACTCACCTGTGTCAAACTTAGAGCGGTGTATCTTTATTTTTTTATTTTTTATTTATAAATGGAAATAATTGTGTTCATGTAGATGATGCATGTTCGTGCCTCTTTAAATAGCCTACCTCAGAGGTCAACGGCAGATATGAAGTATCCCATGCTAAATTTTCCAAAAATGTATTCGGTATACCTTATAGTGCCACCAAATTTATTTTTATAATGATTTCTTACTGGCTTAGACATTCAAAATGGATAATAACCGACAGCCTCGCAAAACCTAAGTCGTAGGCCTACTTAATAGTTTGCTAGTATCAAGAAAAACTGGGTCTGTAAAGTGAAAATAAATCTATCGAAAATTATATAACTTTTCCAAAATATTTTTTAGCAAGACAGCTTTTTTTTTCATATAGGCCTATAACTCTACTTCTTCAATTTTCTACCTAGATCTTTACTTTATAGGCCTATTCAACTTTACTATTAAAGTATGGGCGATGCGTAGCCCTTAACTTTTAGAACTTCCTGAACTAGCGGAAAAGCCATTGTTTTTGTTCGGGTTCTTTACTTTTCCCGCGTCAATGGTGCTGCTATTGTTTTGTTCTGATTTTTGACATTTCCCACAATAGCAGAAAAGCCACTATTTTGTTCTGATTTTTTTTTATTTTAAGCCATTGTTTTTGTTATGAGTTTTTCCTTCTTCTATCCTGTTTCTCTATGTTTTTTCTCAGGGTTTCCTTTCCGAGACTTTGTTCACTTTCCGTACTTAGATCGTCAAACTTTGTCAAAGTAGAGACCATATCAAAGATGTGCATAGGCCTATTAAAATATGAATTATTAATAAACGGTAATTGTAATTTTAACGCATTTTGCATTTTCTAAAGGGTTTCTTACTAGCTACACCGTGAAATTCATGAACAATTTTCACCCTCTTTCTGTAAATACCGTACGCAATGTAGAGGAAATAATGCACTGGCATCCACATGATCGGGTTCTGTACATATCGTTTTTTAAACAATCTATCGTTATGGCAGTATTTGGAATGTGACTTGGTGTTTGATACTTGCCTTCCGATCCAAGGGCCGTGGGCCAGGGGCGGATCCAGTTTTTTGTGAAAGGGGTTGAGGTCGTGTGTTACATAATGTAGAGCGGGTCGGCCCCTCCGCCGGAAAATTTGTATTTTCTATAGCTGCCCCGTATGTACGTTTCTGCGTTCTCAGTGTGTTAAAGACTACATTTCTTCAAATTTCTGAGATTTTCTTTAAAAAAAAAATGATGATAACTGAGGATTGGGCATGTCATAGGTGGTAACAGTGTGAGATGTGAAGGAAGGGAATGTGATCGATGCCAGCCCATCATGACAGGGGGACCAGAAAGGTTCGTTTTTTTGTATGAGCATGGAAAACTGGTGGTGGTGATGATGGTGATGATGATGATGGTGATGATGATTATGATGATGATGATGATGACAAAAAAATTGCTATAGGGTTCACTGGAAGAGTTTTTACTGCTTATTATTATTATTATTATTATTATTATTCCTATTATTATTATTAAATACATGATAATAATAATAAAATGATAATTATAATGATATGAGCATTGATGTGCTTTTTACCTATTTATATTTGTTATGGTTAGACATTATTTGAGGTACTAAAATGATAAAGATAAAATGATTGTGATTAATGATAACGATAAACAAAATGAAAATGATAAAATAATAATGAGTATGATAAGAATAAAATAATAAATGCTAACAATAAAATTAATATTGTTGAAAATAATAACAATTTTTTTTTAATTCTCAAAAAACAAATGATGAAAAAATAATGTTATATGAATGATAGATGAAAAGATAATGATCAATAATGTTAAATCATATATAATAATAATGCAATATTATAATACCTCGGTAATAGAATAATAAATAATACATGATAAAAATAATTTATCATAAAACAAGTATGAACGTTTTAAAAAAATCACAGGAAAATAAATGGACGCCACTGAGACTCGAACGACAATGATATAACCCCAACTTTGTAGAACTGCCTTTGGTAGAAATCAGTGAACTTTCAGTCTATCTGCCTAGTGCTTTCAGATTCAGATTCATTGTTATTTGTCATGTATCAAGTACATGAAATTATTTCTTGGGTAATACACAGGCCTGATAGGCCTAGCCTAACAAACAATATTCAGAGATAAAATTTGAAGTAAAATAGTCTTTTCTGTTAGCATTTAAAATGTCATGGCCAAATACATCTGACGTTATTTTGACTAGGCATATCTTTGTTATAATGGTCTTTGCTTAGACTGAGCATAGAGAAACTCTATGGACTGAGTTTGAAGACCAAGCACGACAAGTACCGAAGTGTGGAGGAAATATTCATGAACACGGGGAAACGGGAGAGAAAAAAAAAAACTTTCTATATAATATATCCGTTATCACACTGAACATAGGACTTTCCCTCATTGACATAAGAACTGATGATGAAATTACAAAATAAAGTAAAAACAAAATCGTAAAGGAATTATAAATTTAGAAAAAAATAAAGAAAAATAACCTTAGGCAAAATAACGCTATATAAATTTTTAGGCCTATAATAATAATAATAATAATAATAATAATAATAATAATAAAAATAATAAAAATAATAATAATAATAATAATAATAATAATAATAATAATAATAATAATAATAATAATAATAATAAATATTCATGTATGATTTATTTCCTTAATACAGAAGGAGGGAAGGAGGACAGAGCCGAGGAGGAACACTTTTCAGCCCCAAAAATCAAGCATGAAAGAAAAATAACAAATGAAAACAGCAAACAATCACACACAGCATAGAAACCCAGCAAAAAAGTTGGAAATTGCGTAAGGTAGACCATGAAACTAAACTAATTCCTCAATGGATACGGGACTAAGCATAAATGCACTGCTGCTGCATGTTCAGGCTTTCTTTAGAACTGTCCACATTACACTCGCTATTACGATTGCAGCTCTATTTGGAGTCTCACTGACGAAGAGTTGGTTTCCATGTTTTTTAAATCAAAATATTTTTTAAGATTTTTTTTTTCATCTTTTCATGCATATTTTATTTCATATTTTTTTTTAACTCTGTAATTTCAACATCAATCCTCATTATGGCAATAATCATTATGATCTGTTTTACAACCAGACTTAGTAAGCTTATAATCGAGTGACATGATTCGACGTATCACACGTCATCATCAGGTAATACGATGCAAGAAGATGTGTATAAGAGACAGGTGTCAAACTTAGAGCGGTTAACTTGTAATAGAGCATTCTCTCGCATGGGACGTACTTACCTAATCCAAGTTATATTTAGCTCCTTGTGTTGAGCACTCTCGTCGCCCCGGCGATACTTAAGACGATGGACCGTTTGCACTACAGCTATTCGATGAAGAATATTCCCATTCCGTCAATGGATATATACAGGAAAGCACTTATCGAAAAAGTGGAAAGTGTGTTAAAGAGAATGCGATGGAAAGCGTATTTCTTTCTTAGAAATGGAGATCAGGAAATCCCCAGTGAATCAAAATTAACGTTCGGCATGAAATCCAGAAAAAAAAACCCGCAGGTTCCCGAAATGAGAAAGTTCGAGGATGACCTACTTAGCATGATAGAGAACGTTAAAACCAAACGTGTCAATAACCAATTCCAAAGGCTAATACGAGATGACATCAAATCTATCAACTCTTCCAAAAAAATGTTCGTGTTTGCCGATAAGACAAGGAATATTTATAAGATGGGCAGTGAAATGTACAAAATTATTGAAAGAAAACATCACATCAAAACACAAGCTAGCAGAAGACGACCGTCCAGCAATTATTAACAAAGGACTTTACCAGATAGCCGCAAAACTTAAAATAGATGATAGAATTACACCTACGTCTGAGAAGCAAGCGTTTGTTACGTTAAAAGATCATAAAAGCAATTTCGCCAACAATCCAGCGAAAAGTGAAATGGGACGAGTTAGTAAATTCATATTGGATTCTGTCAACAAAACAATCAGATCAAAAATAAACGTAAACCAGTGGACCAATACAACAGATGTAATATGGTGGTTCTGTAGTATTGAAGATAAATCTAGACATACATTCGTCATGTTTGATATTGTGGACTTTTATTCTTCGATATCACTAGAATTGTTGACGTCGGCCATTCGGTGGGCGAAAACTTATGTAAATATCACAGAATTAGATATGGAAGTTATCATGCACTACAGAAACACACTGTTATTCGATGGTGAAAAAGCATGGTGCAAACGCGGTGAAAATTGTATGTTCGACGTTGCCATGGGCAGTTTTGATGGAGCGGAGGTACGGTATGCGAGTTGATTGGTCTATTCATTCTCCACCACCTTGAGCGTCAATTTGGCGCAAAAAAGATTGGCCTATACCGTGATGATGGTCTCGCATTATTTAATAAACTTCCCGTACTGTACAGAAAATACAGAGCTGAATTGGTCAACGTATTTACCGGGTTCGGCTTATAGATCACGACCGATGTGAGTAAATATTCTGTAGACTATCTTGATGTTACACTTAATCTCCAAACCGGTAAATATCAGCCATTTAGGAAGACCGGAGATCATGCCATTGTATATACACAAAAGCCTGGTTCACTTCGAACTTTATCTAGATATACCCGTCTTTAAACATGATACGATAATCCCCTAATTGCGTTCGATGCCAAGTTAGAGCCAGATAAACAGCCAGCCAGTTTCAGGCCGTCGACGTCACACGGTGGAAAAGGCTTGTTCATCTACTGTATTTTACGAACCTCTAGTACAAGTGGTACTGTATTCGTTCAAAAAATTGTAAACTACTCTGTAGAGAAGGTGTGTGTTTCCACTACCTAACCTAGCCGACCAGTACGAACCAACGACAGTGCAGCAGCGTGTTCTATCGCAATCTAAGTAGTAGATTCTCTAGGCCCTAGCTAAATTGACCTTCGATAAAAAGACGAATTATTTTAATCG